GCTGGGGGACAGGGGCAGCTTTTGCCCGGGCTGGGGCTGCAGCAGGGCTGATCTGAGCTCTGTTGGGAGCCTCACGGGGCGCCAGGGAGACGCTCCTGTGCCAAGTGTTTTTTCCTCCCCTTTCTTTTAAGGGGAATAGCGAGGTGACCTTCGAGAGCCCCGCGCCGACCCCTGCGGGCGGCAGGTCCTCGAGCACGCGCCCTGCGGCCCCGCCAGCGCGGCCGGGCTGCGCCGCTGGCGCCCTCCCGAACATCTGGAGCGCCTGGAACGCGCAGCTGGAGCCGCTCCATCCCCAGAGCTGCCCGTTACGTAAAGCCATTCCGCACGCGCACGGGGAGGCGGCGGAAGGGGGGAAGAAATAGGTTTCTTCCTTAAAAATAAGGCAGCTCCCTGGCAGCCAGCTGGAGGGGACGCGGCGCTCACCTTTGCAGGGGTGGCAGGTCACCAGCCCCAGGAAGCCCAGCAGGCTGATCTTGTTGCCCGGGTAGGTGTAGTTAGACCAGGCCACGTCCACGTTGCCGTTGGCACAGCATTCCTCCCACGAGACGCCCGTCTTGAGGATCATGGTGCATTTGGCCTCCTTGCCCTGCTGCAGCCAGCAGATTCCACCTGCGGAAGCACGAGGATGAGGAGGGCAGGGGCACGCGGCCTCCGCGATCAGCTGCCCCCAGCCCACGCTCTGCCCACTGTGGGGGACACGGAGCTCAGGGGACAGGCAGAGCTACCAGGGGCACTCGCTGCAGGGCCAGGTCGGGGCAGCGGCACCAGCAGGTCCGTCTGTCCATCCATCCGCCTGCGGGAATCCGGCACGCGGCGCCTCGGCAGGGAGCGGGACACTTGACCCGGCCCTGGGGATGGAGCCAGCTCAGCGGCATCCGATCTACTGAGTCAAAAGCCTGTTTGTTCCTTAACCCCAGGAGCGAATCATTCCTTGGCTTTTCTTTTCTTTCCCTTTCTGTGAGTGATCCCGTTGCAATTTCCGCCGCTGGTGACGCGGGTTTGGGTTGACGCTCTCCCTCGCTGCTGCGGAGGTTTGCGACGGGTGAAGGGAGGGGAGGGCCGGCTCCTGCTGTGGGGCAGGCGGGCGCGAGCCC